TTTGTTCGGAGTCCCGGATGTGATCACGGACATGACGAGGAGTCTCGGAATGGTCGAGACATAAATATTAATATATTGGAAGCCTATGTTTGGACATCGGAATGGTTCCGGGTGAAATCAGCATTTTACCGGAGTACCGGGAGGTTACCGGAACCCCCCAGGGGGTTAATGGGCCTACATGGGCCACGAGGGAGAAGAGAGAAGGAGCCAGGAGGGGGCCGCACGCCCCTCCCCCTCCTAGTCCGAATAGGACAAGGGAAGGGGGGCGGCGCCCCCCTTTCCTTCCCCTCTTCCTCCTCTTCCCCCCCTTCTCCTATTCCAACTAGGAAAGAAGGGAGTCCTACTCCCGGTGGGAGTAGGACTCCCCCCTTGGCGCGCCCTCCTTGGCCGGCCGCCTCCTCCCCCCTGGCTCCTTTATATACGGGGGCGGGGGGGCACCCTAGACACACAAGTTGATCTACGGATCGTTCCTTAGCCGTGTGCGGTGCCCCCCTCCACCATATTCCACCTCGGTCATATCGTCGCAAAGCTTAGGCGAAGCCTTGCGCCGGTAGAGCATCATCATCTTCACCACGCCGTCGTGCTGACAGAACTCATCCCCGAAGCTTTGCTGGATCGGAGCCCGGGGATCGTCATCGAGCTGAACGTGTGCTGAACTCGGAGGTGCCGTACGTTCGGTGCTTGGATCGGTCGGATCGTGAAGACGTACGACTACATCAACCGCGTTGTCATAACGCTTCCGCTTATGGTCTACGAGGATACGTGGACGAACACTCTCCCCTCTCGTTGCTATATCATCACCATGATCTTGCGTGTGCGTAGGAAATTTTTTGAAATTACTGCGTTCCCAACAGAAGCATCGTGCATGCATCGGTTGAAAAGGGTTATCTGCATAGCTGTGTTCTCCGGGCAATTTTCAGGTGATACCATGGTACAACCTACGCACAATTGTAAGACTCTTGGATGACATTGTTGCAAAATGTTCAAGAACTCCCGGGAGCCATCGGATCTGAGATCCAACGGCTCCAAGAAGCCCCTGAAATTATAGCCGAGCCGAGGGAGCATGGGAGAGAAGGGAGAGACAGACGGGGCCCACCCCGCAGTAGTTGCAGCCACTATTCTTCTTCTCCATCTCCTCGGGTATGTTTGGTTCTTGCCTATAGCTGCCCTGCCAATATTGGCTTGCCAATTATTTGGCGTGGGATTCCAACGCCCAGGGTTGGCCAAAGATTTGGCAAGAATCTGTGAAGGAAGCAACAATGGACTCGTTGGCAGCCAAATATTTGGCAACAAACCAAGCAACGCATAGGGAATTTGGCATGACCAATATTTTGGTAGGGTAAGTTGGGGGCATAAACCAAACAGGCCCGCATCATAAGGATGAGAATGGCGTAAACCAGTGGCAATCAAAGTCCGTAATCCCTTTGCCGGTGAATTATAGCTATGGCATCTTGGGTGTAGCTGGTGGATACGTACTCCTAATTGGGTTTCCACGGCATAATATGCTACTACTTGATTATTTTTCACTGAATCTCCAGACATTTCAGATTGAGTGGTTCTGTCAGACTGGTCGCCGTGCCAGAACTGGCGACCTGTATGCCGATCTCCCACCATCCTTGTCCCCGCCAACTATTTGAAGTGGTAAGTTTGTCCTCCATCTTTAATTACTTCTTTTTTCATGCATATGACATTGTAATTGCAATATGATGCAAGTGTTAGCTATATGGTAGTGTGTACATTAGCATTCTCTACTTTGGTAAACCGTGCTGAATTTGAATTAACACTGGTGTGACCAAGTTACTTTCCACCCTTTATAATACTCATTCATATTGCTTGTCGGTGTTTAGGTGCTATCCTAATGGTTAGTACATCTGTGCAATTCCAAATCTGTGAATTTCAGGATGAGCAAGAAGCATTTGTTTCTCATCTTGTGAATATGACTGTACTCATTTTCAGTGTCATACAGAAATTCTACTGAAATAGTAATCAGCATCATAGTATGCACGAGTTAGGATGGATTTGACATGCATTGGCTACTTTCCCTTGAGTCTTTTTTTTCTTTTCCCCATTTTTACCTACTTATTGAACCGTTTGCGTCTGCTAGTTCCTTCTCCTCAGCATGCCACGTTCTTCTCCTTGACCATTGATTGCTTTAGTTAGTTTGTTTGTGGTGGGATCCATTCATCAGATTGCATAAAGCACCAAGTGTTACAGCATTAGTAGCAGCAAACACCACTATTTTTCCAAAAAACTGTCACTTCACAGCATTTTTTATTTCTGTTGGGATGTGCAGCATGCATCATGTGTAATGAATTCTCGCTTTTGGCTGATGAGAGTCACACTTCAGCTGAGGGTGCATGAGGCAGCATGTTAAATTTTTGTTCTGTTGGTTGGTCGTGTCACCAAGTTATCATGCCTGCTATGATTTGTGCGGTAAAATTTACCGTAGTGGCTTATTTTTAAAATTTATTTGTTTTTATCTCACGATGCACTTGCAATTAGAGACTTCGGATCATACTATTGCTCCTGATGTTTGTAAATTAGACCCCCAAAAAAATGCTGTTTTGGCATCATCATATTCGCAATGACCCAATAATCATGCTTGAATTTGCGACTGTAACTGACTCTGGCTTTCCACATGGCAAGCCCACTAACCAAACCAGCCTCATACATCGACTTAGGCATGGACGGCTGAGACATACACTACATCAGAAACATATTTCTAGCCTAATAATGTTAAGCTTGTACCTAGTGGCATATCTTGTAACAGCTGGGCTGTACTAATAAATCAAACTTATTGAATGTAAATTTTACTTATGATGTCTTGATAGGTCAACACTAAATGGTCGCAGTGATATATATATATATATATATATATATATATATATATATATATATATATGAGTTTAGATGCCATGCTAATGTTTATGGTCAGTAATTTTCTGGTCTTGTACTGCAGATGCATGTTTAACTGCGTAGATAACTTCAGAAACATGTTTGTGTCGTTTGGAAATAAGAGTTGAACCCGTGAGCATTTCAATCAAATTGGACGCTCTTCAGCAACCAGCATAGTGATTTTTAGTGGCACTCCAAAAGTAGCTGTTTGTATCGCACAAACGTATTCGTGGAAAACTTTGTATTATGGTGAGTTAAAATCCTCATTCCCATTTGGTATATTTCAGTGTAATAATACATTTCCCTCTTCGTGTAGAAACGGAGAGGCTTAGAGACACATGCTTTCTATTCCTCAGTTTGTTTCAGTTTACTAGTACTCCCTCCGTAAACTAATATAAGAGCGTTTAGATTACTATTTTAGTTATCTAGACACTCTTATATTAGTTTACAGAGGAAGTACTTGTTTTGAGTTGTGGTATCTGAGAACCATTTCCCTCTATAACCAGGGCTTGCCAGAGAATAATGCAGATGGCAAGTGCGATGCCATGTTAAGGAGAATAAATGCAAGAGCATTTGACAGCAATTTGCAGCTGATAGATAACACCTCTTTCAACTGTTGAAGAACAAGAAACATGCAATGGATGTCCGCCTTCTTCTTTCCCCTGTCAAAGATTTTGTATCGTTTATGCTATTTGTGCGGCGCTTTTATGCCTGGCAAGAGACTAGACTTGGCAACAAGCAAAACCGCCTGATTGGCTTGCGTACTTGTAATGCCCAGCTTCAATGGTGGCTTTGCTTGAACTGAGTGCTGGTTAAGGTTTGCGGCTTTAGTTGTAACCCTGGGAATGGAACATTTTGCTTTTGCTGATACATGTGGTTCTAGTATGTATTCATGGCATTACCCAAAGTCTGCTTGTGCCGATATACTACGATTCATATTTCTCTTTCAAAAGCATGGATTGGATGAAGTTGTGAGATGTCCTCTTTGCCTTTTTTTTTCTTTTCTTTTTTTCTAAACGGGAAAAGGCGCTCAAGGCGGCAAATTTCATTCAGCTCAAAAACACAGTACAGCGTGAATTACACATCCCTGTAGAGCTTGAAGAGATAACAGAGAAAGAACAGGGCAACGAGTGTGCCTATGAGCTAAATTGGAACAACCAAAGACGGGTTGAACTCAACTGCTCAGAACCTGGTGAGCAACATTATGGGCAATGCTATGAAGACTCCTAGAAATGTGAAAAACCTGCGAACGAGAGCCTTCTGAGATGACAAAGAAATCTGCAAGTCACATCCCTAGTTGCCCGCAGCCATCGCCAAAGCAAGATTATCTGTAAAACAATTGGGCCGATCGACCTGTAGAGGTTTCTTATTTAAAGAGGCCCTCTATTAGTTGCAAGTGATTGGGTGCTTAATTAGATCGCTGTTACTCGAAACCTGATGCTTGAATCCAGGCCATCCCCTCCCAGTATTCAGCACAACACAAATCCTTGTCAGTTTTCTCACAACCATTATCAACTTGCATTCTGACAAACAAACTAGCAATCGCACCAACAATGGCACATCTTCCTATCGGCCGGCTGGAGATCCAACTGCGCCGGCGAGGGAGCCGCAGCCGCAACCGTGCGGTCGCGAATGCCAGCGGGCACGACGGGGTAGATCAGAACAGGTTACAAACACAAACACTCCGAGAGTTAGATCATGTAAATTTTGGAGCTGATGACAGCAAAATCGTGTGTATTCGTCGGGTGGATGAAGAATCAGTCACAAGCCAGCGAAACACCAAACCAAACAGTTGCAGCAGTATAATCAGTCACTATAACCAGTACAGTTTCATGTTGTTCTTGCAGGCAGGTAAAATTCAGGCAACTAAATTCAGGTGACAAATCCTCCCGCAGCTTAATTCACTTAACCAAACGCTTGCATTGCAGTATCATCATTCAACACACCAGTATACTAGCAGCATCATGTTCTTGCGGGTAGGCAGGTAGGTAGAATTCAGGTAACCAGACGATGATGATATTACAGAGCCAAATTTGGTTCCGGTTCCTAGATTAGCAGCAGAGGCCAGGCCAGGCCAGGCCAGCCATCCAGGAGAGAAGAAAGGCCTACCCGGCGAGGGGGTTGGCGTGGACGGTGACGCGGTTGAGCCTGATCTCGGCGAGGGGGCGGTCGGCGGGGCCGGTGGGGGTCTTCTCCATGAGGTCGAGCACGTCGAAGCCGTGGATGACCTTGGCGAACACGGTGTAGTGGCCGTTGAGGTGGGGCTGCTTGGCGTAGGTGATGAAGAACTGGCTGCCGTTGGTGTTGGGCCCGGAGTTGGCCATGGACAGGGTGCCCCGGGCGCCGTGCTTGAGCGCCTCCCGGAACTCGTCCGCGAACTTGCCGCCCCAGATCGAGGCGCCGCCCTTGCCGGTGCCCGTCGGGTCGCCGCCCTGCACCATGAACCCCTTGATGTTGCGGTGGAAGACGGTGCCGTCGTAGTAGCCGCTCGCGCACAGGGCTAAAAAGTTCTCCGCCGTCCGCGGCACCTGGTCGCAGAAAACCTCCACCTTGATGTCCCCCAGGTTCGTGTGCAGCGTCACCGACTGCGGGTTTGGGGGTGGGGGGAGAGAGGGAGGGGAAACGAAATTAGAGCTTCGGTCGGAACGCTGGGGTAGGGGGAAGAGGACGAGAGGGGACGAGGTGGGTGGGATCTGGGGCTTTCTTGCTTACCATGGCGTCGCGACGGAGCGGATGGGGCGGCGGCCGGCGGCGGGACGAATCGGCGGCGAAGAGGAGTCTGGAAGCGGAGAGGAGTGGGGGGGAAGGCGGTCTGCGGGTCTGGGTCTCGTGGGTTTGGGCTGCTGGGCCGCCCACGCTTTATGGGTCGCGTATTTGGATTGGCGGTATCAAATCACTTTGGTTGTATCAAATTCGACAAGATATTTTCGTTACCTCAAATAAAGTCGAGAATGTAGTTCCTTTCCTGGGAACAGAATTCGAATATTCCCTCAAAATTCGAACAAACAAGATTAGACTTTGCTTATTCTTCTTCTTCTTCTTCTTCTTCTTCTTGTTTGAGTTGGAATTGCTGCCTTTTGTATAGTTATTAAGTCATGATACACTCCAAGGTAACACCGAGTAACGAAAATCTGGAACCAGGCCTTGCAGCTTTTATTCAAGAAATCACACCGTACTTACTGTACCACACAAAAAAAAGATTGTATAAGCCGAACAAAATGACTGAATAGAAGCAAGTATCAGAATAAAAATTGTTCCCTCTGTTTCAAAATAATTGAAGCTCTAGTTTTGTCCTAGGTCAAACTTTATTAATTTTGATCAAGTTTATACAACAATATATAAACATCTGCAACACCCAATTTGCACCATTAAATTGCCTGCGAAATATATTTTCATATTACATACATACTCTACATTTAGATATTAGCCCATTTTTTCCTAGACTGGGTCAAACTTTTTAAAGTTTGACTTGGCAATCCTAGAACTTCAATTATTTTGAAATAGAGGGAGTAGGTTACTACAGTGTAAAAAAAAGGATTAGGTTACTGCAGCCTACGCGATTTTCAGTGAATTTCATCACTGAGCTTTCCTGTTGGGAACATTAGTCTACAAGAAACAAAACTGAAAAATCATACTGCCTAGTGAACAAATAAATACTCCCTCTATAAACTAATATAAGAGCATTTATATCACAAAGTAGTGTTCTAAACACTCTTATACTCTCTCCGTCTTAAAATAAGTGTCTCGACTTTTTACTAACTTTAGTATAAAGTTAACTTGACACTTATTTTGGGACAAAGGGAGTATTAGTTTACGGAGGGAGTACTTTTGATGACACAACGCAATGCGGTGCCCCGAAAATGCCGTCACAAACTGGATACTTTACAGATGACAAGAACCTTAATTCCTCAACACTAACTTATGTTACCAAAGAACAAAATTGCAAAAGGAGGAAGAACCTGAATTCCAAACTGGATAGTTTACAGATGACAAGAACGGCAGAAACCGAATTCCTCGACACTAACTTATGTTACCAAAGAACAAAATTGCCAAAAAAGAAGATAACAGGATTGAACGGGTGAATGAACACAAGATTTGACCCACGCCTACCATGAGACGGACAATTTACCGCCTGTGACACCTACGGGGAAGCAGATGAGAATCGACACAATTACAACCTTCCAAAGAGCTGCCGCGCTTGGATTCAACGGGAACAGGGAGGACATGACGGATATGAACAAGATCCCTGTTCTTAGTTCCACCACCAAAGACATGACTGTTTCCACCAACTGTCAGTTTCAAACCTCCCCCAATGGTAGATGCCAAGACGGAATCACTCTGATCGGAACAGGTCAGGTTAAGGCATTTTTTTCCCTGTGTGCTCCTGCGTTTTCCTCGAAGCACCTGGCGAAGCAGTTATTTCTTGACACCCTACAGGCCCGAAAGGAGTTCTCTAGGCGTTTCAGCGGTTTGATTTGTGGCTAGCTGTGACCCTCCTGAGCCTTTCCACCACCACAGGAATATCCCGCCCCCTCAACGTTGTGAAACAGCACCTAAACCACCCAGGCTCAATGCAATGGCAAGATGAACCTGGGGTGACATTGACCTTCGCCTCCTCCAACAGCCTGTCCCAAAGCCTGCGCTCTCCTTTCTCGCTGTAAGACCGGATGAACTTGCTCATGTCTGCCCAGCAGTAGAACCCTCCGCTGCTCTTGAAGCACTCGATGCCCACCTGCTTCAAAGCATCAACGAGCAGATTGTACGCCTTGCGCAGCCTCTCTCTGTTAACTTTCAGGTAATTTGAAATAAACTTCTGGTCCGAAAGCATGGCAACAAGAAGGCGCTGGGTCGGGGTCGACACAGATGAGAATCTGGCAATCTTGGCGGCTGCCTCCACAATGCTTTCGTTATACGAATATATGACTCCGACTCGAAACCCTGCAAGAGATAGGTCTTTTGAGAGCCCGTAGATTATGTGAACCCTGCCTCTGTCAAAGTCTTCTAGCTCGTTCACAACCTCTGCCACACTGACAAATTCACCACTTCCAAATGTTGAGCCAGCAAATACTTCATCAGAAATCAAGTGGATGTTCTTCTCAGTAGCAAAGTCTAGAAGATCACGCAGTGTTTGCTTGGGAACAAAGCTTCCTGTAGGGTTGGAAGGATTAGATATGAGAACCCCACGAACCCTTACTCCTCGCTTCTTTGCCTGGTTATAGGCTATTTCTAGAGCAGTGATACTGATGTTAAAGTTGTCGGTGCTACGGCAAGGAACGGGTATCAACTCAATACCAGTTCGCCATTTTATGTCCCTGTCCCACCTGCGAAAATGAAATCACAAATTCAGGACTTCACTCTGAACACCAAACCATATGGTTATAAACACACCTGAGAGCGAGGAAGATAGACATACCCAGGGTAGTATGGTGACGGAACAAGAAATGCATTTCCTGGATCAGCAATACAGAAGCTCAGTATTTCCATTGCAGGCGTCGCACCAGATGTTATCACCATTTGAGATGGATCAAAGGATACTGACTCATGCATTATTTGCCTCATAAATCCAGCAAGAGCCTGAAAATGAAATCAAACAGTTTATATTGGAAAACTAACCCATGAGGAAAAACAAAAAGGTTAGCCATGGAAACTAGTTTGATTATCTGGTGGCAGATTCAAACTATACTAATAAAGACTTGGAGCTTTTTGTACCAACTTAATGACCATCTAGCTAATATAGGACAAGCAGCGACATATTAATGTGGAAAACAGAGTGGCGTCTCAGCATAATTTCTGCATGACGTGTGCCCTAGGGGGCTCATCATTAAATTTATTTTCTGATATATCAGCACGACAGCACCTTTTAAAGTACGCTATCGTTCCGGTATTAATCCTGAAAATAACCACCAGAAATGAGGTAAAGGGGCAAGTTTCATAGAAGCATGACAATGCAGAATGGCTAGGTTAGATTCCTTGACTGATTTGGATGGAAAGCATCCACTAAAAGGCTATAACAAAAGACAGAAAAATAAGCAAAACAAAAAGCAGCTCCAATCTAAAATAGGAGTGGTGCGCTGTTTTAGCAGCATATCATCCAGATTAATCACCAAGGTCTGATCTATCTAGAAGTATGCCTTCAGTTCAGATTCACACAGTTGACAGCAGCTAAAAAGACACAGGATCATGGAAATGAAAATCTTGAAAATCAATTGTTGTTTCAGGAATGAGCTGATCAAAATGACAATGCCTCGGAAGTCAACAGTTGACAGACGGCATCATTGCAGCAACAAAACTAAAATTGACAACCAAGAACAAACAGACGTGAGATAGTGACTCTTTGGCACATATCAGTTTGATGCAGATAACATGTATATGGCCACAAAAATTCAAAAGAGGAAAGGAAGCAAATTACGCAACATCACGTCAACAATCGTACCTCACTCCAGGCTTAACCACACAATATTCTAGAGGAATTGCTACGATTATTTGTAGGTTCAATAATTGACTGGACACTGTTGTTCGATTGAGCTGATCCAAAACTGTGGCTAACCGCCTAGGCCCACGCTACCAAATCAGAGCAGTGGTACTACTAATGCCAAAGATAGCATAGCTGAAAGACAAAAACTAAAGATACGAAATATATTTATCAATGTGACGCAGACTAATTATCATATTGTTCAATTGACGCACAAATAAGTTAATTCTCAAGTGTATTTATCAAACTAATTATCATACAGCTCCATGGACACAAACAAGTTGGAACGAACGACTGCAGATTGTAGAAAACTTGATGCGAATCAAAGAGAAGTGAATTATTAAACTGGCTTTTTCTGTCGATGGAATCAGGAAAAGTAAGATTCCGGCAGCACTTAATTTTGACATTGCCGGAGTTAACAGAATTGGATATCTTTTTATGGATGGGATGGAAGGAATGAGAATGAGAATGAGAATCAGGGGCCGGTTCTGTTAGGCTTACCATCTTCAAGGCAAGTATCCCGTCGTATGGCTGGTACGTGGCGAGCCCGCTGATGGTGAGGTCCCTCTCCTCGTCGCCTCCGCCCGGCGTCATCGCCGGCCCCGCGTGCTCCTCCATCCATTCCCTCACCAAATCCAGGGACAGCTGCACAATCATCAGCAGGCGCCAACTACGTCAATCAATCTATCTGTGGGTACTGATTTGGAGAACGGAACAGGAATGGTTTCCAGAACAGAAGAGGAGAGGAATGGGGGGAGGGAAGGAGAGGCGCTGACGTGGTTCTCGGCGAGGCCGAGCTGGATGACGCCGGAGGGGTTGGAGGCCGGGTGGTAGGGGTCGTCGGCGCAGCGGCGGAGGCCGGCGTAGTAGAGGGAGTCGTCATCCCCCGCGCGGACGACGGCGCCGCGGGCGGAGAGGGCCGGGAGCGCGCGCGGGGAGAGGAGGCCCCGCGAGAGGGAGCGGTGGATCGGCGAGAGCGGGCCCGCCGCGGCCGCGGGTGAGGCGGAGGAGGGGGCGGCCGGCGTGGGGGAGCCCGGCGGCGGGCGGTTGCGCTTGATGTAGAGCTGGAGGAAGTAGAAGAGCGCGCAGGGGATGAGGGAGCCGAGGACGAGCCCCCCGCGGCCCTGCACCACCCCCTGCAGCGGCACCACGATGCGCATCCCCCCGTCCGCCCTCCGCTGCTGCCGGCCGCCGCCCTCCCTGTCGCCCCCGACGCCGCGCGGTGATCTCGGGTTGTGGGGCTTCTTGTCGGCGCGGTCGCCCTTCCTGCTCATGGACGGCCCGCGCGGCGCCCGCGGT